GAGATGCCGCACCCCAGTCTGTTGGGGCGAGGTTGGTCACATGGTGATGGGTCAGACCGAGGTAGTCCTGTAGACTACCGAGATGATTCAGCAGATCAGACAGTGGTTGCAGACCGCACAGAGTCGGCAGAAGAGTTACGCCGACCGACGTTGATCTGAGTTGGAGTTTCAGGTCTGTGACATGGTACTCCTGAAGGTCTCACCCTGGAAGGGTGTGATTCGATTCAGTAAGAGGGGGAAGTTGGGTCCCCGATACATCGGGCCTTTCAGGATAATTGTCAGGGTAGGCAAAGTGGCATATAGACTGGATCTTCCGTAGGAGCTCAGTCAGATTCACAACACTTTCCATGTCTCGCAGTTGCGAAAGTGCATATTGGATGAGGAGGCAGTAGTGTCATTAGATGATATTCAGGTCGATGAGCGCCTTAATTACGTGGAGAGGCCAGTGGCTATTCTGGAGAGGAAAGTGAAGGTTCTACGGAACAGGGAAGTACCTTTGGTAAAGGTACAATGGGAGCATCGTAGGTGATCCAAGTGGACTTGGGAGCCGGAGGCAGAGATACGGGAGCATTATCCGGGATTGTTCACCGCAGCAGACTTCGAGGACGAAGTCTAGTTCAAGTGGGGGAGAATTGTAACACCCCGACTCCCAGGTATATTTTACAGCTTATATTCTCATTCTTGGACCTACCCGACGAGTTGAATGCCCCCAACTCGTCGTGTAGAAGCAGATCATGCAGCGTGATTTAAGAGGTCTAGTCGACAAGTTGGGGGACCCAAACTCGACAAGTAAGAACTGGAAAATGAAACCCTAATTTCCACGGTTTTGCACCCTATTTAAAGGATCATTAGCCTCCCTCTGCCTCCCTTACCGTCCCCCTTGAGCTCAGAAAACCCTAATCGCGCCTACTCTTCATTTTGTGTGTTAAGAAGCTTGGAAGGTGGATTTTGTGAAGAAAGCTTGAAGTCTAAGGAGCTAGGAGCAAGGAGAAGCTTGTGGATCTGATTTCTACTTCATCTTAACCTCATCTTGAAGATAACAAGTTGTTACCTTGATTTTTCTCTAGCTAGATCTCTTCATGCAAAGGTTTAGGGCTTTTCTAGTGGTTGTGGAGTTATTTATGGTTTTGGGCATGATCTGAAGTTGTGACTTCAGATCTGGACTCCTCTAGCCCTATATAGTCATAAAGTTCTAGTCTTTGGCAAGTTATGACCTTCTCCTTACCTAAAACTTCTCCCTTAGCTTGGTTTTGGCATTTAGGACCTTGCATGTACGTAAAGTTTGCAACTTTACGTGGAAACTATGCCCTAGGAGGTTAGATCTGCAATTTGGAGCTTTGGGGTAGCTTAAAAACGGCTGAATGAGAAATGGACTGAAGGGACTCGACGAGTTGCATGGCCAACTCGACGAGTCGGATGAAGATTGCCTGTATTGGTTCTGCATGGACTCAGCGAGTCATGGAGATGACTCGATGAGTTAGTTAGGGTTTTTCCCGACATTTAGACATCGCATGGACTCGACGAGTTATCTGGAAACTCGGCGAGTCAACTAGGGTTTTCACGAATTCTCGAGTTCTGGAAGAACTCGACGAGTCAGTGGGCTACACTCGACGAGTTGGGTCAACATGGACTATTGACCTTGACCGTTGACTTTGACTTTGACCAAGGGTTGACCATTTTGACTTCTGGGGGTATTTTAGTAATTTGGGAATTTACGGAAGTGGATCATTGGTGGATGTAGGTGTTTGAGTTGGAGCTGTATTTGGAGGAGTTGACATTATCATCCCGAGCTACTTGTGAGGAGAGTTCTTCTCACTATATCAATAGGGTCTAAGGCACCACGGACGACCCTTTATGATTTGTATCCTGGTTATAGGATGGTTGCTATGTTGCTGATCTGTTAGATCGGTATCCTGGTTATAGGATTATGCTATGTTAGTGATCTATTAGATCGGTATCCTAATTATAGGATTATGCTATGTTAGTGATCTGTTAGATCTGTATGACTATCTGTACATGCTAGCTAGCGTATGATATTTGTGTGCACATGATTGTTTAATTGGGGATTGGGTTGAGGCGGTCATGGTTTGTGCTTGTGCCAACATACCCAGGGTGGACCGGATAGACTGCAGACCCGGTTAGGGCGTACTAGTCAGGTCGAAGGCCCGACGAGCGGTCCGGTTAGGCTGAAGGCCCTGAAAGGCTGTCCAGACGTGCCAATGGCTCGGAGAGCGGTCCAGATAGACCGATGGCCTGTGAGGCGGTCCAGTCAGACTGATGGCTCATTATGCATGCTGCTTATATGATATGGTTATATTTGTATGGCGTTGGTATTTTGGGGGAACTCACTAAGCTTCAGGCTGACAGTTGTTGATTATGTCTCAGGTACTTCTGATGATCGCGGGAAGACGAAGGCGTGATCGTGCACCTCCTTATATTTTTATGATTTGGTTCTTGGGATACTTTGATGTTTAAACTATTTTGAAAACAAATTTGTAATAATTATTGTTTTAAAATGTTTTAAAAAGTTTTAAATTGACATGATTTTTATGGGTGTTACAAATTAAATCGTCTATAAGGATATTATAGACTTTTTTATGATTATCATTCTGTCAGAATGTTATCAGAATGTGTTATTAATAATCGTATTCTGTAAGAATGAAATGAGTGAAAAACAATACGTGTGAACAAAAATGAATAATAATTAGTGAGAATGCATGCTAATGACGATAGTTGTGTGAGGTTGAATGTGTTCACATTACCAAACAACTTATTCTTTTAGTTTTTCTCATAAAATAGCATTGTCCACACACGTCAACAACACCTTTGCCACCCACTGACACCACCACCGCCGCTGACAACACCACAACCACCGCCTCCACCACACCTAACACCACGATCTCCGCCATCGCTTCCACCACCACCCCCGCCAACACAACCACCACCAATACCACCACTGACACCATCACCGCTGCCCCCGTCACTGCCACCACCTCAACCATCAGCCGTCATATTCATATGTGAATAATCAGTTACGAATAGACTTCATATATAAATATACTTATTCATATATGAATATGATTATTCATATGTGAGTATTATTATTTATATGTGAATATTATATGTTATGTCGTCCCGTTACTATGGAGCGCTTAATCATTTTTCGTGAAGATATAATATGTCGATGAAATCCATCATTGATACACATATTTCTAGTAATGATATTGTTTTACAAGATATTCGCAAATTGAACTATACGGTTACAAAAGAGTATTGTGGATCGATCCAACCCATTGTACTAATAGAACGGTAGCTCAAGTAGCCATTCTTTTGTTACCATTTAAATAAAAAAAAAACAAGCTAAATGGAGTCAAATTGACGTTCATGTTAAAAACACATAACGAACCCGTAGCACCCAAAACTTATTTCTAATGAAGGTGTGAGTCATAGCAATAATTGTTAACATTCAGAAACAATGTAAAAATTGTTATCTGATTTTATCAAGCCTACCATTTCCCGAGAGCTCGGTCAAGTAGCTATAATTTTGGATCTTGGGACATAGTTTTACTAATATTATTATGCAAGAAAGCAATAGAAATACAAGAATTTAACGTGGTTCGGTCGATGTGGTTTATGTCCATGATCAGGTTCTATTAGCAGACTCTTTCAAAGTGATTATAAAAGAATCATAACTACAAAGATTAAGAGTAGTAAATCGTAGCAACTATAGAGTCAAACTCATATACAAGTAAATTCCGAACAATTAATAGTCGTAAACCCTGCCTACCCCAAACACTTGTCCCATCAATATATGATATCAGGGTTTTTTTCACTTCCTTTCGGATCGGGTTATCCATTTGGGTCACCAAATTCCAAATGACACGTAACAAATAATATATTTGAATTCGGAATTCTACATATGCTATTAATTATGTAAAACTATATCCGCTGCAATATTTCGAACTTTACATATGATACAATAGTGCTCGTTAGCTTCCGCGTCATTAAAACCTATTTCATGAAATTGTCAAGATTTAAATAGTTTAGTACTTAAGCCCAATAAATTGAAAAGTTCTTTTTGTTTTTTTTTTCATGTTTGGAAAATTTTGTTTAAATATGTATCCTTATATATTATAGACAAAGAAATAGAATTAGGGATAAAATATAAAAAGAGTAAGTATGTTTCCACCTAAAAGAAGCATTTTCGAATAAGTATAATTAATAAAATAACCTATCAAATTGTTTAATTAAGTCGATGAACATTTTTTTTTATCTTATTTAATTCAAACATTTAAAAAATGATTATTAATGTATCAAAACACTATTTTAAATAAACAAATATCAAAGGCCTTTATCAGTATCCGTTGTTGTCATCCGTCCTTGATGTTGAAGGTTGAAGTCTCATTAGAGACATGAGTGGATTTAAAATGTAGTTTATGAGTGGAGTAGATTTGCAGCACATGCTTTATTTATATATATATTCCATATTATCTCATATTTAGATCCAATTATTTTACATCCATTATGCACCCTAATAATGCATTTGAAACTAAACAGGTTGAATAAACGAATTACGAACGTGAGAAACTGAGTATAGCAATGAAAGCCTAATCAAGCAAGCCAAACGACCATTTCCGGCCTAGCCCAACAATCCTCATAAAAAGCTCTAGCCCAACTAGAAGATTAAACTTAGTGGCAGTTTGGATATTTTATAGTTTTACTTGGATTTTGAATAGTTTTTCTCTTTTTCTTTTTAATGGAAAACACCAACACCCTCTAATTCTACTCTTAACTAGGGAAGAGACCCATGCAGATTGTCTTGATTGTTACTTTGCCAATAATAGTATTCTACCTATGTTTCTTTAAATATAGAAGCAAAATACAAACAAATTCATATCTATAAAGTAGGTTCTTATTATGGTTAAAAACTATAAGTACGTTGCTATTATAGGAATAAGACAAACTCGCGGATCTTTTGCTGGTATCCGGAATTATCTTTTTTATCTCGTTTGATTGATACCTAATGCAGAAAGCTCGTCTTTTTCTCCTGATGGCTGTTCCAATTATATGAACCTTATTCTTTCTTGAAAATACAAACAAAATTTTCCAAATAAAAGTAATAATGTTTTTAGGACTTGTCCTTCAAGCGTTCCTCATTCATACCAAAGTTGGAAAAGTAGGATAAATCAATATCTTAAAGTCTCCATGGCTTTTCCTCAAACCCATCAATATCCACTTCAAATTTAGTCCTAAAGACATTAAAGAAAGTTAGAACTTATTATAGAACCATGAACTTATAAATCTAGTTATATATGAAATATGATATTTATTCTAAAAGGTTAATATGGTCATTACTTATTTGAAGGAAGTGTGAAATTGAGTCTACTTCAAATATACTCGATATTCTTCCTTTCATCCCGTGTCTTAGCATTTTCCAAATCCACCGGATCCATATTTCCAACTCCTCTACAAATCAAAACCAAAACAACACCAAAACCATATCAATTAAAATCCAAAATACCTCAAACCATCATAAAAATGTAATTAAACATAATCTCAAAAGAGAGAGAAACAAAACTCAATGACCATATACACAGTTCATAACTTATTAGTTACTTCACATTTCACAAAAACAAAGAATATAAAAATATAGTGGAGTAATACATCTCTCTAATTGAAGTGTCAATTAACAAAATTTCATATCTTCACAGCGTTATCATTTTCACCTGAAGCTAACTCTGAACAGGGTGAAACACACCAGACCTGTAAGAATGTCTAAAACTGATGAAATATGTCAATCTCTTTACTTGAATCATTAGAAAATAAATAAATAAATAAATATTAGAAAAGATTTTGCATTCCAAAAGAATAATAATAAAAGATAATTGTTGCGGTATCGCAGTTTGCGCATGGAAGCTAATGCTAGAATAACAATCTATAAATGGTATTTTAGCAACCTCGTATCTTAATTGCAACTCTTTTGAATTTGGTGTCAATGGTATTAACAAAAGGGCATAATCGTCCACCTGATAAAATTTGAACGGTGTTCATGAGTAGCATCTGGTCCAGGCTTCGTGATTCCTTAAGGAATATATGCTTCGTAGATTGAATTTCCTCCATCTTCAATCATAGCATCAATTTCAGCATCACTCCATGAATCTAATGTTACTGATAAAACTTGTCAAATTCAGATTATTATCAATAAAATTGGGTTCAAGAATGTTTTTTTCTATTTATTTATTTATTATTATGAACACCAAGACTTCAGTGAACACCACAACATTTTAAGCATGTGAACAGTCCAATATTGGCTGACCTGAAATTCAAACTGAAAAGTTTTCATTTGAGCATCCCATTTTGATTTATTTTTTTAATACAACAATGTATTGTTAGATGGATGACATGTATTGATAAATTCATGTTCTTGACAGTTTTTAGTGTTCTTGAGTTAAAGTAAAGGAAATGAACGTTTAAAGTTTTACCATTTTGCTTTTTACTGAGTAAATATTTGAAAATTAAACTTCTTTTAATTCAAGCTAATTTTCAAAGAATACCTTAATTATAATGAACTTACAGATTAAAAACGCCTTATTAAAAACACTGATTGATAAAGCAACCAGGAATGAATACCTTAATCGGCTTAGGCATTTCATCGAACGCCTTATAGGCATGTTTCTCATCCAAAAGCAGTAACCTTTTTTGAGCTTTTCTACTTCCCAAACCTGTAGTCAGCGTCTCCAAGTAACCCATTCAAATCCTCTTGTCGACGTATTCCTAACAGCCATAACTACATAGACACGGTTTTGGTTGAGCTATTTGAGGTGTGGGAAGGAGAAATCAACAACGAACGAATATAAGATTAAAAAAAAAAAAAAAAAACATTACCTTACTCCAATTTGGAAGAAGCGTATGGCAGTGTACCAGATGCCCCATTGAATGAAGGTCCACGAGTAACAGTCGTTGAAAAGATTCTGAAAGTGTAAAGCCTCTTTGTAATCGTCCAGTCCAAAATCAAGCACAAATCGGAGAGAGTGAAGCCGTAAGTCGCAAACACATACCCAAATCAGTAACGAACGGCGGCAGCACAGGGAAACCGGAACTTACAAACCCAGAGGAACAAGTGAGATGGAATCGGATGCCGCAAACCCAAAGGAACAACACCCTGAATCAATTGGGACGAAGACGAAGAAAAAGCGAAGCACCGACAACGCAGGTGAGATGGAATCGAGAATTAGAACATTCCTCAAAAAAGCAGAACGAAGACCCAAAACATGGCACAATATAAAAGAAAACAGAAGAGGCGGTGGACAAATGAAGCCAATATGATCTGAAGAAGAAGGATCAGAAGAAGAACGAAATAGGGACGATGTTAATTGAGATCGGTTTAGAGAGACAGTGATAGAGGTGATATTTAATTGGAAGGTGATGGCGGTGGGCGACACGTGTATGTGCTGGGGAAGCTGTAGATGGCGGAAAATGAATGGAAAGGGAACTGTTCCTAAGGGAAAATAAAATTAATATGTATATAAATTAGTTAATTCATTATATTTGTTCACGACAAACTTAAATTATCAACCACTTGGAAGTGACACATTTCAAATACACTTTGATACGTTGGGCAAAGCCTTTTGGTTGAATAATTTATATTGTCGGTAATTAAGTTGTGATTAGGGGTAATCATTTGGACATGTGGACCGGACCGGACCCTGGACACGTTTTTTGGAACCCCGGGCAGGTTCTCGGTTCAACGATTTGCTAAAAACAGGTTCAGTTTTTTTACCGGTTCGGTCCGGCTGGTTCCAGGTAAAAACCGGGTTGGACTGACTTATTTAAAAAAAAAAAATTCTAATTTTTTTGGCAGAAGGCGTGATAACAGATTATCCGCATACGAGAAGAGATCCACTTATCCCATAAGCCATACGATCGACAATTGGCCGGTTTCTTTCTCCCTACTTCTTACGTCCACGAGTCCACGACTTCTCCGTTCCCTTTCTATCAACTCAACCAAAATCGATCATCCTCCAATCTCCACCCAAAATCGTTTCTCAGTTTCCATCCCTTGGCATTCACATTCAAATTCAATTCTTCATCACTTCATCTCTCTATTTTTCATTGAAATAGAATTTCATTCTACTCAACAGAAAGCTTACAAAGGGTGTAATCAAAACTAATAGAATCAAGAAAAAAAATGAAAATTGGATTGGAGATGATGAAACTCAAGTAAGTTTTGCTGGATTTTGTTGAATGTTAGAAACTATGTTGTTATATTGTGTAAACGTTTTTATCGTGATTGTATATGTAAACTAGGGTTACGAATTTAGGTTGATTTTTGTTAATTTTTGTTGAATGTTTGTTGTTATATTTAGTTGTTATAGTGTGAAAAGAATCTATTGTGATTATATATGTAAACTAGGGTTACGCATTTTGATTGATTTTGATTAATTTTTGTTGAATGTCATAAAGTATGTTATATTTAGTTGATTTATTGTCAAAAAGTTTTTGTTGTGATTATATGTAAATTAGGTTACGATTTTTGGTTGAATTATGTTAATTTTTGTTGAATGTTATAAAGTATGTTGTTATATTTTGTTGATTTATTGTAATTTTTTTTGTTGTGATTATATATAAACTATGTTACGATTGTTGGTTGAATTTTGTTAAATTTTGTTGAATGTTATAAAGTATGTTGCTATATTTTGTTGATTTATTGTTTTTTTTTAAAAAAAATTTTGTTTAGTGTTATAAAGTAGATTGTTATGTTTGTTGATATATTGAATCGTTTTATTTGTTTTTACGTTGATGAAGAGGAATTTGTTGAGAATGCGCCACAAATTAATTTAATTGATGATTCGGAAAAAGATGATCAACCAAATCTTAATAAATGAAAAAGAATAAGTATCAAAGAAAAAACAAGTGGCAAAGAAACATCATCTTGTTGGGACACATTTGATAAAGTTATGATAGAAGAGGATGATGGTGTCAAAATATGATCAACCAAATCTTAACATAACCGGAACACCGACTTTTAATACCAATTTATGAATTGGTAAGCTGGAAGGTCTAATGTCATTCAGAATATCAGGAGAGTATAAAGATTCGTCAAAGTCATCGTGTACAAAATCCGAATGACAAAGACTGTCTGAACTTGTGACATCCCCAATTTCACGGCCAGAAAAGACCGATTTGTTTATGCTTTGTTTTATAAAATCAGAGTAATCATTTGATTAAAAGAGTTGCGGAATTTTTTTCCCAAAACAAAATATGATAAGAATCTATCAAAACTTTTTCTTGAAGAAGTGTATTTTCATTAAATAACAAAATCTCGGGATGTCATGTTCCGATACAGACCAAAAGCATAAACAGTATAAAATAGACCTTACAACAGTTATTTATAACTACTGATCTATAATCCAAAATCCCTCGTCATCGTCCAACTATGCTCTTTTTCCACTACCTGTAATACAGAAAAACTGAGTGGGTCAGGCTTGGGAGCCTGGTGAGCATATAGGGTTTTCAACCCACAATAATATAATTATTATATTTAATCATCAAACAATCAACCCAATTATCCATCCCCATTATCTTCTTTATTTCTTAAGTTTTTACCCTAAGAATCAACTATCCTTCATTCCTAAGGATTGACCTAAGGAATTGGCACAAAATCCATTGCTACATAAGGCGCATCTACCAACTTTATCCTTTAAGCGCCTCTGCCAGGATTACGACATTCACTATTAAGCGCCACTGCCTGGATTACGACATACACTATTAGGCGCCACTGCCTGGATTACGACATACAGTATTAGGCGCCACTGCCTGGATTACGACATACACTATTAGGCGCATCTGCCAACATTATCCTTTAAGCGCATCTGCCAACCTTATCCTATAAGCGCATCTGCCAGGATTATCCTATAAGCGCATCTGCTAGTATTATGACATTCTCTATTTGGCGCATCTGCCGACCTTATCCTATAAGCGCATCTACCAGGATTATCCTATAAGATCATCTGCTAGTATTATGACATTTACTATTTAGCGCATCTGCTAAGATTATCTATAACATCTTTCATACCACATCACTTATCTACCCATGTTTTACCCGACATATTCGTAGATATAAATTACATATATGGTTTAGTTCATTTAAAAACCTGTATAAAACATTCATTCCAACAACCATCTCAAGTAAACAAACAACGTATAAACACATAGCACGTATTTCATAGCAAATACTTCATATCTATGCGGTAGAAGAAAGTAACTACACACTCACCTGATCAGAAGATGATCGGGCAGCACTACGGCTCTAAGAGTAGTATTTCTTCGGTGAAACTAGAAGATCTTCGGAAACTCTTTTCTTCTCGGGATCTCCGGGACTTGCTTCGGGTCTCGGGATGATACCGGGGCTTCGGGGGGTTAAAATAGGGCTTAGAGAGGGTATCGGGAGTGGGAGAGAAGAGATAGAGCAACCAAAATCGGCTGACCCTCGATTTCTATTTATAGGGTCATTTTTCAGCTCTGACGTCGTGAGTTTTAAGTTCTCACATCGTGAATTCAATAGTCATCAGGTGCGTCATCGCCACTTGCGTCTGTCAGGCTCCAGAAGTCATAAATACTGAGTTCACGTCGTGAACACTGTATTCACGTCATGAACTCTGACAGTTTTGGGGTTTCGCGCCCCGAACTTCAGAAATTCATAACTGTCGTATACGAACTCCGTTTTCGACGTTCTTTATACCCACGCGTAGGTGAGATTATGCTCTACAACTCTCGTTTAGACTCTGTTGGCTAATTTTGACTTTAATTTTAATATATTATTTTTAGTAGGCCGGGACAGGAAAACTCCGTTCGAAATTCGTAACTCCTTCATCTGAACTCCGTTTTCGTCTGTCTTTTTATCGTTGAACTACTATTGATGAGATCTTCAATTCTCATTTAGAAAATTTTGGCTAAATATCGCTCGACCTCAATCTCGAGTTTTGGGCTGCATACTGCTAATGCTGAAACTTCGAAAAATCATAACTTCCTCATACGAAGTCAGATTTAGACATTCATTTTATGCACGCTCTCGGTTTAATATATTCTACGACTTTCATTTAGATCGCTAAGGCCAAATATCGCTCTAACGTAAATTCACTATTTACGTCGCGCTGTGTCGTGCCGGTTCTGTCGCGAAACTTCGACAGGTCATAACTTCTTCGTTATAACTCGGATTTTGGCATTCTTTATATGTACGGAATCCTTGTAACATATACTACAACTTAGTTAAGATTACTCATTCTAAATAATCTTCCATCAAAAAGTCATTTTTGATGCTTATCGTCTCTAAATTGACTAGCCCGGATCTACGGGCGTTACAATTATCTCCCCCTTAGGATGATTACGTCCCGGAATCATCAACGAAATAGGACTTGTATAATGATTCCATACGTTATCTCTTCATCATAGGTAATAACTGTAAGTTCTATGTTTCCTCGAAAGAGTATCTAACTCTTGGACTTCTCGATAGCAGGTAGTGCTCAATCCTGCATCTGCTCTTCGTACTATGTTGGACTTTCAATCGTAACCTTCAAGTTACAAAATAAATCCTTACTGAGAACTCCTTCTTCTTCTTAGAATAAGTACTTTCCTTTATCTATTGTAAC